TATATATATATATATATATACCTAAGAGAAGGATCATTTTGAAATGAGATAATCATAGATTAAATACCATTTTTTGAAGACATGGATGAAAATCATTAAATTGGTCTGGATCGAACTGACCGAACTAACATTTTAAAAAATAAAATTTAATTTTTTGTTGGAGTTCAATAATAAACAAAAATCAAGAATTACATATATTACATGAATATTATGGATTACATTTCCTAAATCCTTCATTTAATTTTATTTTTTTTCTGTTTTCGATTTATTTGATTAAATGAAACTGAACATTAAAACAATAACTACAAAATGAATATTGAGTTTTAAAGAATTAAAAAAAAAATCGAAATGCATTTTTAAAACCGATTGAAATTACTAAACTTAACCTAGTTCGATTAAACAATAAATACCGTTATTAGATCTAGGCGTGTAAACGAGTCAAATTTGAGCAAATAAAATGTTTGTTTGTGTTTGACTTGTTCAAATTTGCTTTTTAATTTGAAATAGGTTAATGTTTGAAATCGCTCATAAATAGCATTTTTGTATTAATCCTGATTCGATTTCGTTTATCATTTCAACCGTGCTCAGATCAAAATTACTCAAATGATTTAACAAATAGTAAAATTTAATATTTGTTACATACATAAACAATAAATATAATAATATAATAATAATATTTTTATTTAATTATTTACTTTATTCAAGCCGAACCATCCGAACACGAATAAAAAATCATTCAAGCTCGAAATTGAGCTAAGCAAAAAGTATTCATGTTTGTCCCATTTATTGAACATTCCAATCAAACATAACCTCAGCAATTAAATTATGAATGAGCTTTTTTTTAAACATGTACAACAGCTTGTTAGGAAACTATAGTGGAAAAGCCACCAGCATGTTTCGCTGAAAAAATTATTTCATACGGACAACACATGCAGAAATGCATGCGTTATCCGATCTCGACCGACGATCACAACAGAACTGTATTTCGATTGATCCCATTTAAAAAAAAAAAAAATTGGAATCGACGACCAAGATCGTACAACGCATGCATCTCTGCATACTGTCCGTATTGAATAATTTCTCCTCTGGCTGGGTACCCTCAGTGAAGAAGCATCAGCCAAAAAAATGTGCCTAACATCTAGAACTAAAATAACATCTAATATAATAGACGTTTAAATAAAAATCAAAATTTAATATTACAAAAAAATTTGAACTTTGAAGTTCATAAGAAAAAAAAGAAATTGTTCAGTTCGCTATTCTGCTTTAATTTACGAATAATTTAACACTAACCGCAACTTATAAAATGATTATAAGACTTGTGAAAAAAAAAAAAAATCAAAATAAAAATCAAAATAAAAATCAAACAAAAATTTTCTTATCATTAACATACTTTAATAAATATAATTATAAAAATCAGCTTTCTATTACAGAAAATTTTAAAAAATAATAATAAAAATAATAGCCAAACACAACTATGATGATGACTTATAACACAACATAATAAAAAATGTTATCTCAAACTGGCTCTTAATCATAGTTATATTTCAATTTCATGAGATTCATACACGGAGGCCATAATCATTTTACTTGATACAAGACTATTTTGTGTGCACATTAATTGTATATCATCAACATAAAGACAATTTCATATAATCCCTAACAACATGATTTCACTAAAAGACACTTTTATTTCTTAAAACCAACAATCTTAACCGCAGCAGGAACCACACGCAGGTAGAGAACCTGAAAAATAAACATGAGAGAAACTCAGTTCATGGAAAATATAAAACAATAAATATAAAGCAAGAGTTTCTTAGGATGACAACAAAAAAAAAGGTAATATGAATTAATATTTACTATGGTCGTTGGCTCGGAGATCGGCCATTGTCCGAGGCCCACGAGGCCCGCCACCATATGGGCCTCTACCAGGTCCACCTCCCGGGCCGCCTCCGCCAGGTCCACCATCCCATTTCTTCCCTGCACCTAAACCCTTCTTGTACTCGTTGCTTTTTTCCATCTAATAGTAATAAGGCAAGTTACTACTGCTTTTGGTAAAATAGAAAAAACATAAATAGAAATATATATATATATATATATATATGTGTGTGTGTGGTGTCATTGAGTGCGTACAGAAAACATGGTCGTGAAGAACACTCCGATGAAGTTAAAAATGGCCCAGAAGAAATCGGTTATAATACTCAAACGCCATACTGTTCTTTTGGGCTTCACGACTCCTGCAACAGCGAAAACATTTTGTTCGAGTTGTTAGTATAAACAGTATGACAATATACCAACAATAACGAATAGGGAGACTCGAATTCATAGTTTTTAATACTTTATGTATTTACATATCTAACATCTAAGCTTCAATTTTTACAAATATGCCACCCTATATAGCACCAAATTTTCTAAAAATGCATTGTATCCTATATAGCACCTAAACAACTACATAAATGGTATGCTTTTGATGCGTTCTTGGAAATAATAAATAAATAAATAATCAGAGAGTAATTCGAGTTGCTCTGTATCTCATCCCATGCGATTACGAAGTAATAAAGAAGGGTGGACATGCACAATTCTAAACTTTTAACTATATCTTTATATAGATTAAACTACTTTTGAAGAAAACTCTATTAAAAAAGTGAACAAAACTCCTCTAACATCATGCATAATTATCCAAATCTCAATAAGTAACTCATTTGAACCCAAGACTTCATGCATCTAGCAGATAACTAATTTCATCACATTTTTTTTTTATATCAATCTATAATATACCTCATTAATTTGCATGTCATTTCAAGATAACAATTCCATCTTTCCTTGAGGTCTTCATATTCAATGAAGACTGTATAATTCTCTTATAATGCATCTAATCCGATCCTTGAACATTTTATACGCCGCTCCTCGGCAACTAAACTAAAATATATACTATTAAAACATAAACCCGCTGTACAACTAAAACTCAAAAAAAGAAGACAAATTCAAATCCTGTACAGAACTTTAGGTCAGTTTCTGGGCTGTGTTTTCCTCGTCCTTGTTTTTCTAATCAGAAAACAATCATGTCGATGCCTAAAGCCCTCTTAATTCCCTGATGCATGGCAGATTTATTGGTCATTCTCAGTACTTAGAAGCCACGTAAAAAATAAAGAAAATCGAAGTTCTTTCTCTCTGTAAACAGAAAAAGAGAATAATGCGAGGAAAAATCTAATTTTCTATTACTTACATAACAATATATATATATATATATATCAAAATAAGTTTTATTAATGCAAAGAGAGGTATAAATACCAACTACAAGACCAACTAATACAGAAAGAAATAAAATCAGAATAAAGGAGAAAAAGGAAAACAAATAAAAGCAAATAAAAGTAATTAAAACATAAATCTGCATATTAATATTCTAATATTCTAATACTTCCCCTCAAGTGAGAATATCTGTCAGCTAAGCACTAGATGACACAAACAGAACATAAATTTCTCCAAACTCAAGTTTTTCCTTAATGAAGTGATAGTCTCAATATGCTTAGTGCGATCATGCTAGATCAGGTTGTAAGCAATGCTAATGACAACATTGTTATCACATAACAATTGTACGAGAGCAGAGGTTGTCATAAATAGTTCGTGGAGCATAATGTGCAACCAGACGCTTCACAAATTCCCAGGGAGATGGATCGAAATTCGACTTTTACACTGTTCAGAGCAACTATAGGCTGCTTCTTGATTTTCCATGTAACTAGGTCCCCCACACAAATAAGTACCCTGTGGTAGATCGCCGATGATGGACGGATCCGACTCAATCCGCGTCTGTGCAAGCTGCAATAGAACGAGAGGTGTGACGGGAAAAAAACACACATGAGTCCTGTGTGCCTTTTAAATAGTAGACAATTCATTGTACAACTTGAAGGTGGTGCTCATAAAGATAATGTATGAATTTGCTGACTATCCCGACAGCGTGACATATGTCGGGACGTATATGAGTTTCCCCATAAAATAATGGTAGTGAGTTTTATTTACAAGAACTGCATTAGGAACATCAAGAAACTTTTCTTTGAGATCGATCGGGACAACCATTGTTTTGCACAGGAGAAAACTGTTCTCTGTCAGCTGGTCAATCACATATTTCTACTGAGCAAACAAATATCCTGAGATGAATAACTATGATGCCTAAGAAATATCAGAGAGATTTCAAATTCTTCATTTCAAAAGAAACAACAATAATGCCTTTCAGAGACTCAAATGCTAGTAAATCATTACCTGTGAGAACATAATCGTCAACATAGACGATAAAGATAACTACCTGGTCACCGGAAGAATGTCAGAAGAAGAGAGTGTAATCCAATTAAGCCTGAGTGAATCCATGATCCACCACCAAGAGGTGGTGATTGCTTCAATCCATAGGGATTTTCGCAGTCTACATACTTGCCCTTGGGAAGCAGTGGAGTCAAAGGCTGGAAGAAGAGCATGTATACCTCCTCTGTAAGACCGTTATTCATGAATGCATACTTGACATCAAGCTGGAATAACAACCAATCCAGATTCATTGCAAGAGACAAGAGGACCCAAATGGTGTTTAAGTTAATAACTGGAGCAAATGACTCATCATAGTTAGCTCCGTAGGTCTGTGAATACCCTTTTGCGACCAACCGTGCATTGTTGCATTCAAAGGATCCATCAGAATTAAACTTAATGCTAAAAATCCATCGACATCCCACTGCTTTTTTGCCCAGAGGAAGATCAATAGTGTCCCAAAAATAATCTCACTAAAGGACATTCATCTCCACTTTGGCGACAGCTTTTCAGGTTGGGTCTGCTAAAACAACCTCAATAATAGATGGAAGCTGATGATTGGTTAGGGCAACAAGAAATGCTCTATAGATTAGCGATAATCTGGAAAGAGAGACATAGTTTGTCACGGGATAGAGAGAACATGTGAGATTGCGTGCCTTAGTAGAGGAACTGACATCCTCATTTGGAGTAGGAGCAATGCTAGGGGTGTCGTCTGGAGGAGATTCAGGGTCCAACAAAGGGTCATTGAGCTTCAAAGTAGGAGCATCAAAACAAGTGCGTCGAGTATAGACACGGAGAGTGGGAGGATGTGCTAGTGGAACCAAAGAGACAAAGGGCTCCTTGGTGGTAGGAGAAGTGGGTGAAACCAACGAAACAGAGGGTTCCTCGATTGTAGGTGACGTTGGTGGAGCATCCACAGGAGTAGGGTAAGCAACAATGTCCAAGAACTCTAGCTCCCCCTCACAAGAGGCCGAATTAGAAAAATTGGGAACAATTTCAAAATGGAGATATCAATACTCACATAGACATTATTTATGATAAGGTCAAGACACCGATACCCTTTTCAAGTAATAGAATATCTGAGGAAAACACATTATATGGATCTGTTATTAAGTTTATCCTGAGTTGGGGCTGTATTCCGATCGAAGGCCGCTAAAAAATTATGAAATCTAAAGTTGAGAAGACCTGATGGTTAAGAAAGCACAATCTCAAGATGACTCAATGCTTTAGGAGTTCGTCAGTGGTTTTGCAAGATTTCGACTGCTGGCAAGATTCCACTTGGGGTCACCAAAGAACTTAAGTTATGGGACATTTAACTGAAACTGAACTTTGTGATACTGTCGACAAAGATTCCACTTAAGGTCACTTAAAGAACAGGTTATGGAACCCTTCACCAAAAGAACAAGTTTTGGAGACAGGAGTAGGGGATCCTATAGCCAAAAATCTAGCCACCTGGGGACATTCTTTGGAGGCGGAAACCTAGCCACCTAGAGTCATGAATCTGGAGAAGGGATCCATGAGGCGGGATTAGGGGAAGCGGTAGGAACATGGGAAGGAAGGCAGAGGCGACTAAAAGTAGACCTAGTCGGCTACAAGGAGAGCCTGACAACTCAGTTTGGGCCATGCTCTGATAGTATGTTATAATAGAACTCAATGTAAGTTTTATTGATGCAAAGACGAGCATATATGCTCATTATAGGATCTACTAGCGAGGAAAGAAATAAAATTAGAATGAAGGGGAGAAAGGAAAGACAATCAAAACAAATCAAATTAATGAAAACAAAAATCTGTACATTAACATTCAAAAAAAAAAATAAAATATATATATATATATATATATATATATAATAAAAAAAAAATAGTATTTAGCAGAGGCCCAAATACTGTTTTCCCATGCGCTAGGCCCCATGATGGAAAAATTATTCCGTGCGGACACCGCATGCAGAGTTACATGTGGTGTCCGATCTTCACTGTCGATCACCGCTTCGATATGTATATATATGTATATATATATATATATATATTATTACAAGTTCTAGACTTTATAAAACTACATTCATGTAAATAGAAAACCAACTACTAAAACTGAATGAAACAAATTCCTAGAAGAATGAAAACTAAACTACTTCCCAAACAAAAAGAAAACTGGTTCAAATTTCCTCAATTATATAAATACATAACACTTTTTCAAACTAAAACCAAGAAGTAATGGTTAGATGAAAACCACAACGACCAATCAGATCCAACCAGGTAGCCCCAATAAGCTCTTCTTTCCCTTATTTGTAATATTGTAGGTCTACTTTAACCCACCTCTAACAAAAGCTAGTCTACATGTGCCCAACATACTCCGCGTTCAATGCGCCTTGAAGGCTAATGTTGAGATCCTCAACTACAAGGCACAACATGGATGGTCTGTTCCGAAAAGGTTATAGGCATTGCAGGGCCCTATTGACCTCATTTTGAGGTCTTTTTTTTCCCTTCCCTAGATACCTTAAGATCTAGCCTTAGGATTTCTCTATTTTGACTCTACTAGAGGATTAGACCGGGATCTACACCACTTAGAAATTCGAGCTACTTCTTCGTTTTTTGAAGTTTCATATGGGCTGTTTCAGATCCTTAACATTCGATTGAATCGATTGAAAAACCGACATATTGAAGCTCAAATTGAACTTTTAAAGAAATTTGAAAGACATAGGTGGATATCATGACGTGTGCGACGTTTGACTTGCCACCACGAGCGATGTGTTTGACTTTGGTTGCACTTATGTGAGGACCGGTTAACATTTTTATTTTTTTATTCATTGAATGGCTCCGATCGGACCAAAATAATTTTGTTCATCACAACGCGCACAAGCTGAGGTTAATTTGGTGCAATTGTCGACGAATTTGTTCAGATGACCCCGAATGATGAAACAGACTACGCCGGTGCTTCCGGGACGTCAATTTT